TCTCTGTAGTTGTGCCCAAGAAGTAGAACTTTGTTGCAATTATTTCTTTGGCTCCTGCTTCTTTTAAAATTTCACTGATTATTATACTATCTTCATTGTTGTGGGGGACTCTATTATTTCTTTGTAAGCTGCCTTGAATTCTGTATACCCTGCTTTTTTACATCTTACTATAAAAAGTTATAATGTGCAAGATTTCAAATTCACCAGAACTTTTCAACAGGGAGAAGGAATAATAAAGCCAAATAAGAAGGAAACAAGTAGCTAATAATCAAACAACTGTACTCACTTTGTTATGGTTCACCATTTGTGATACATTTGGTTTGGGTTTGAGCAATCTGTATACTCAGTCCATAGTGACTTATTCAGTAAGTCATTATTAAAAATCATGGTTAGCCCAACACTGTAGGTGAAACCAGCCACAGTCTTAAAATGGAAGCAGGCTGCAGACATTTGGAAATTCTATCATTGTGATTGTTTCCAACAGTCTTCTAAGATCTGCTGGGAATGGGAAAAAAAGGGTTTACTCCCTATTTTGAAGAAAATAAAATCCAACCATTGCTAGAAATCACTTCTGGTTTTTTTCATGCATTCTACATTTTTTTCTTGCCAACGTCTTTGATACAATAATGTTAGAAAGTTTTGAGAAACCTAGTTCATGGTGTTTTCGTCTTTGAACTTAGCCTGAAACAACAAAATCAAGGAGCTGTGAACTTTGCCTCCCACAGGTCTGGTACTCACAGGTACCAGGTGGGCTTCACCAGATCTCTAGAAAGAGGGGAAAGATAAACTCAATTCTTCAAAAAAGAGGAGGAGGAGGAAAAAGAGGAGAAATTGAGGCAGACTCTTCTTGTTATATCCTTTGGTCTTATTTAATTATAGATATTGAGAATGGGATCTTGCATTCCTGTTAAACTTTGAAAAACTGTCAAATCTAGAAAGGGTTAGAAAAAATATCCCCCCTCCCCCCCTTTGGCATGCAATCTATTGGCCACAGCCATTTCCACTTCCAGCCTGTTAGCATTTTTTGTTCTAGCACAGTATCCCAACTGGAAAGCTGGCAAAGACCAGATCATGTGGTATCTCACCGTCTCTGTGATTCTCATTAGATTTTCCACCCACCCATCTACGAGAAGAAACAGACTCAGCTTGTTGTTGCCTTGCCTTTTGGAGCTTGTCCTTGTACACTGAGTGCCAAGGTGCAAACATTCGACCCAAGGCCCAAGTGCTCAACTCAGCAAGAACTGGTAGGAACCAGCACAGCCAGAAGTGTTGACAGCTCATACTGAATCAAAATGTCTAAGGAATGCCAGTTTTCTCTCCTCCTGTTCAAAGAAGCTGGAGAACAACAGATTATAAAATAGGGACTTAACACAACTGAAAACTTAATTCACTCAATACCAAAGTGCAAGACTTAAGACAGTCAGAACATGAGATCAAGTCTCTTGAAAACAGAAGAGAGCAGTGAGTCTTTCATATTTCTTAGCTTAGCTCCAAATCTAATTCAGACACCCCAGAAGTCAGTCAGAATGTATTTTTCTTGCAACCTTTCACAGAAGGTCAACTGATTCTAAAGTGGGGTGACAGCTGAAATCATTCCACACATTGAGAACCATCACTACAAAGGCCAGTTGTTAGCATTTCTTTACTCCATTCCTACTCTGCATTTTGTCTCTCACATTAGCTCAAGATGATTTAATTGGTTGGGAATTCTGGAAGCTATAGTGCCAGTACATTAGGTTTTTGGGGAAAACTAACTTAATCAAGACATGTCCAATAAATTAACACATTTAAGCCCTTTTTGGAAGCGCTAAGCTTTCTTTATGATTAGGGTCAACTCCAAACCTCTCCAGGTCTCAGGATATATAAGAAAACATGTATAGAGAGAAGCACATGGGCATTACGTGCATACTTTTAGCCCTATGTAAGGGCTAAAGAGTTGCCTGGGGAGTGTGCAGCCTTAAAAAGGGAAGAAATATATAGATATCCTGAAACCTTATCAAGTTATAGATCCCTGAAATGTTCACACCTGAGATTAAAAGCTAAAACAATATTCTTTTCTCTTCATGCCTAAACATTTCTGCTATTTGATCTCTACTGGTAGAGTTCAAAACTCTAGTACAAGATTCTCCGGGATCCTCTTGAGGTTGAGCAGTCCCATATTTGTTTGGTCTAACTTGCCATCTGGAACCAGGAAGCTGTTCGGGGTTTCAAAGTCTTAGCTGGCATCACCAAATGCTGCCGCAGCATGAATAAGACAGCTAGGCAGAGATAAGCCATTACACAAGCTTTGACTTTAACTGCAGTCAGATAAAAGCAAATAGAGCCCAAATATTAAACAGGACCCCATGCAGGTACAGAAGAAATGCTATATGCTGTGCTACTTCAAATCCCCCAATTCATCCTTTTCTATATGAGTAAGGGGAGCACACTATTCTTGTATTAGGTAACTTCAAAAGTAGTGTAAGACTACATATAACAGAATCACCTTTTTTAATAGGTCCACTTCTTAGTTCAGCCCACTAAAAAAGGAGACATTCTCATGACTGATCAGACCAAAGAGCCAAATGAATGGGTGCATACACACCACCATCTCAGCCTCTCCACACACATCTTTAATCAATGTCTCAGGCTCTATGGTGATGTCTGAACTTGCCACCATTTGGGGTTTATGGAAACTGGCATTGAAACAATGAGCCTTGGTAGCAATTTTGGGTTTCATAAACCCCAGTGGTGGCCAGTTTACTTTCAAAGGCTTTAAGCCTAAGACTATGATTTAAAGAGCCATATGTAACAAGAAGCAAGTGGACATTTTTCATTGGCACTAGTGACAAGTTATCCAGGTCAGGTTCTCCTATTATGCTGAGCATGTGATTTCTTTGGTGTAGGCTTAGTGAACCTGTGGACCTATTTTAATTTGCAAATTTTATTTAATAAATTCATAAGGCTGCCTATCTCCATCACAAATCTGGGCCATGTACAATATTAAAACAATACCGAAACAAAACAAAACAAAACCTAAGCATCCAGAGAAAAGTAAAAAAATAATCCCTGACAAGTCATTCATCATCCAAGAGGCTCACCACCCCTCTAGCCCAAGGCCTCAGAGAACAGCCAGGTTTTAAGGGCTTGCTTAAACGTCAGGATAGGGGCCATACAGATCTTGGTGGGTGGTGGTGGTAGAAAATATGGTTCCAAAGACCGGGTGCTACAACAAATAGTTTATTATTTAGATTTGTATGTGAACTTGGTCATCTAAAAGTTAATCCACACACACAGTTGGAATGAACTATGGCTGAGTACCAAGTGCAACACAAATACAAAAATTGCCCCATCTTTCCTATAACCACTTGTCATTAAACTCCTTGAAATCCTGAGATCTCAACTGTGACTTATTCAACAAAACATAAGCAAGCAAGAAAGCCAGTGCAGTTACATATATGCAGGGTAGAAATCCAACCAAATTGCTTTTTGCTGTCAGGATGCATTTATTTAACTTGGCCACCTTCTTATTATGTTAATCTTTAAAAAGTAGCGATAGTGGCCTATTCTTCTCATTAAAACTTCTAATCCAACTCCCCTTCCTCATTTGGCCTTGACCAGCATCATCTTTGCTACAGAAAGATGAACAAGAGCAGCAGCACCATCACCACCACTGTGATAGATGGTCACGGGTACATCTTGCAGGAACAAGCAGCTTCTGAAGAATGTAGGGGACATCTTATTACCAATGAGCACAGATACAAATTGCAAAGCTCTACTGACTAAACCACTCCTAGCTTCAGAAGAGTCATTTTCTAACCTTGCTGCTAGCTCAGCATTTGGCTAAAATATCATACTGGAACAAAAACAAAATCAAAACAGAAGGTCCTGCACCTTCATCTTGCCTGAAGGGCAAACACAGCTCTGAATCATCTGAACCCCCTTAAGCTGCTTATGCCTTTCATTCGAACTTCAGAGGAGGTATTAAGCTCTAATGACTTTAATGAAACGTCTGAAAAGTCCTGGCTGCTGGCATTAATCATTGCTCACACCTTCATTTGTGTCATAAAGACACCAATATTTTTAAGAGCTTGTCATCGCCTGGATTTCAAAAAGGCTTCTATGCTTTTAAGGGCTATATTAATAGGAAGAAGCACAGTAAAAATGGCATTTGCCTTTTTATAAATTATGCCCTGTGGTGTTTTTGGTTAGCTACAGCAAGGTCCTTGTATTTACTTTGAATTTTTGGGGGGCCAATGTTGATTTGGAGGATAAACTTAAAATTTTTAGTTCACTAGAAATGAAAATGGAAAAAAAGGTTTAGCACAAACCCCAAACCAAATCCAAGTTTTAAGGCCTACCTTCTGCAAAGAAAAACAAGCTTGTTTCCTAACTTCTTTAGCACAGTTCTATCCACACACCCTCCAGATGTTGTGGACATCAACAGCCATGCTAATTAATCCAAGACATCTGCATCAGGTTGGAAAAGGCCGATTTATCATTTCCTAAAGTTTCTTGCAATGCGCCTTCAGAACGCTTCCCAGATTGACTGCTATTTATTTCAGCTAAAGCATATGTGCTTGTTACCAGCGAGAAACATCCAACTGCAGCACCTGAAGCTTCACATCTTAAATAAATGAGAGCCACCAGCATTACAGATGCTACTAGCAGTAAACACTCATCTATAACATGAGGCAACCTAAGGGTGAGGCATATGCCCAGAAACTGATCTAGGATAAAGGCAGCTTGCCCTAACATGGAGAGAAGTTCCTACAGCACTATTACCTGTGGCACCCTTCAAGAGCACATTATTTAGTATTAAGTACTGCTGTCAGTAAAGGCAATCATAAATCTGCCATTTTGCTTCAGTGTTTCTGATAGACATAATTTAGCTGAACTTAGTTTCAGCTTTACAGGAAGACAATTGATTAACCTTGTTGGGCACCTTATTTTTTAGTGGCCTATCAAACAGAAAGGAAAGGACAAGGATTAACAATTCAACACACGCATAAAACACAACAGGTGATGCAACTGTTTGGTTTTATTCTGGGATGATTGTAATTACAAAGAACTGTGATTGCAGCCAAACTACACATTTGGACTATTTTATCTTTAAAATTAAGAATGCAGAGATTAATGGAATAGGAGGTGGATGAAACATTATAGCTACTTAGGGTAATTGCACATTTGGTGATATGAGGACCCAGGGTAGAATGGCAGAACAGCAGTCTCAGTCTTCACATTTCCTTAATTTTCCCCAAAAGGAGAGAAACAACAGCTGAGGGCCAAGAATTAATGATATAAATGTGTATATGCACCAACTCTGCTAAAAAACATAACAAAAGCAAGGATGAAATGAGGAGGATTATGTAAGGTGCTGTTTCTTATTTCAGACATCCCCAACGTGGGCACCTTCCAGATGTGAGGATTTTGCTCTTAGAGCTCCTCCACTTGGAGGGCACCTGGATTGAGGAAGCTTGCCTTACTACTTTGATTTGCCCAGGACCTGTCCACTTCCCAGGACAGCAGAAAGTTACAAAGGGTGTGACAACCATGTTTCATGCTATTATGCTTTTCCCGTCTTCAGAAATATTGATGAACTCTGAAGAGGCCTACAGAATTCTCAGACAGTCCTTGGGAGTAGCTATAAGAAGCAGCTTGACTCTTAACTGCCTGAGATGGTTGAATTTTGAATGGTACCCATTTCAAAGTGCAGGCAGATACTGCTATTTTTAATGTACTTTTGAAAGTTCAGGTGAAAGGATTCCATGTTTCTCTTTAGCTATGATGTTTAGGAACTGATTTACATGGCACAAGTATGCCTCCTCTCAAAGACTCTGTAGCTCTATTGTTCAGAATTCTACCAACTAATGGTTCATAATGTGCACTTTTTAACCTGAATTTCATGGAATTGTTCTTTAAGAAGAGTATACAGGAAGATGAAATCATAAAGGAAGGGGGTCCATTTCCTTCTGGCATCAGAGACATGCATGTTCTGTCATTACCCCTTGCCATGCACCCAGTCATGTTCCTAATCTTCTTCACCATGCCGCTTAAAAAAATATTTGAACTTTTCAGATTACTAGTTATTAACCAAAAGAGAATTCAATATGTCAAACTTGCAAGCAACTGTCACTAATAATGATGCTAGCAACAAGTATTTTGAAAAATATTTGTAAACCATTTAAGAAAAGTTGAGCTTTGCTCCTTTTTTCTTTCAAAAATTAAATGGCAAGTTAGTGCCCAGATTCTGTTCTTCCTGCCAATTTCTGAGCTGTTTAAGTACGAAGAAGCAATCCCCACAGCAAAAATAACGCTTGCAAGATATTTCTTGAGCATAACTTAAAATGCTACCACAGCTCTTTAGAAATAATGTAGGAAAAATTAGTTTGTTTCAACCCTTTTTGTGGCCTCCCCAGTTTTAGATCATTTGATGGAAAAATTGAACTAGTGAAACAGGGGCTCCAAAGAGCATACAATACTTCTATAATGCAGTGTTCTCCTGCTGTGTTGGACTACAACTCCCACCATGCACAGCCACAAAAGGCAATGAGAGTGATCAGAAGGTGATGTAGTTCAACATGCACAAAGGCCATAGACTTACAACAAATATTATTAACATTTACAAAACTGTATGGAGGGGAGGCCAGAGACAACGTTTTACTTATTCTAAATCTACTGGCATTTTAAGAACCTAATTAATTCTGCAATGTCAAGGGTGAAAAACATTTTCTAAAGAGCCGCCAACAAGTGAGGAATTGTGGCTACCGATGGTGGTCTCTTTAGGACTTCAACCACATATGAAGGGTGACTTAAAACATTCTCTCTACCTACCCAACCGGATGGCCGACTGCACCAAGTAATGTTCAAAATAAAAGCTTTCCGCAAGTATATCTTTAAGTCCCAGTGACTATCAAAACATCAGTTGGGGGAGGAGGAAAATGTATTGGCTCATTAATGGAAAGTAGGGAAAATCTCACTAGCATAAATAAATTGTTACCTTAAATGGCTGCTTCTCAAGAGGGCACTAACAGGAAATCAAGCAGGGAAGTAATTGAAAAAGTTACAAGGACTGCAAAGGTATCATTAAAAAACCCACACCAACTGATATTGCCCAAGCAGCCCGAGTGAAGTTGCGTAGGAAATGCAACTTGAATCGCGTGTCCAAGTTCCGAGAGGGTCCAGCAGGCTCTTTGCTTGCATGCTGGCCTGCTTTCTGTTCTGCTTGGAGAGGAACACCCAGGAAGGTGTTAAATGTTTTTTAAAGCTGGACAGTCACAATGCTTCCCAGAGAGTTTCTGCCTTTCTTCCAAATTTGATAGGGGCGCAGGCTTCAAGCGGTTCTTAGTGTTCCCAGCCGGGCATGCCTCCTGCTGCTTTGGCACATACACTCACATATTCCAGTACAGTCAGGAGCCACAGTCTGATGCTGCTTTAAGCTGGCACCACTCCTGAATAGCTTTAAGTATTTATCAGCTCAACAGGTCAAAGGTCTGCAGACACTGGGTGGAGCAGCAATATGCCACAAAACTAACAGTTGTTCTCCTGGAACACAAATAAATAAATAAATGAATAAGAAAGGAGAGAAAGAGACAAGAGTTGTCATCTCAGATTCAAATGCGGGCTCTAATCCACAATATACAACTTTTATAGGTGGTTAAAAAATCAAACAAGCCAGGAGCAAGGATTAAGCCCTGGTAAACCAAGTACATACAATATTTGAGCTTGCAAAAATAGCAAGAGGTTTTCTTCCTCTGTCAACATACAAAAAAGTCCAGCTAATTATTACTGCAGATTTGAACCTATGAAGAAAACATCTGGAAGATTTCTTAATTTCTTTAAGGGAGAACATTTAAAAAAACCCTGTACAATGCTCCCTCAAATCATCCATATTTGCTACTAAATAAACTGCACTCTGTGCTGGGACTTTTTCTACGTGGTCATGGAAAAGGGAACATCTTTTTATGCAAATATATTTGCTTAAATGGGAGAAAAGAAAGACTTGCATTGCTTTAACAAACATATATCAACATCAGCAAAAGCAACATCATTTTAGTTTACAAAGAAAACATAAAACCAGAACTACCAAATTAATCAGCACTTAAATTCCTATTTAAATAGTCATTTATTGGCGTATTGAAAGGCCAACAATCACAATGCACAGGATAGAATCTAAACAATATAACTACACTGAAAAGAAAGTTATGCAACTACTTGAATACCAAATAATTTTAAATGCTTGGGCAAATATCGTTTCAACTAGTGCCAAAAGGCAAACATCTAAAGATACAGTTTTGCATTCCTTTTACCTTAGTGCCTCCTTGCCCTTGACTCATAAATTCAAGTTCTGCTTTAATTGAAACCTCACTGTGTCTGAAATTATTGGAAAATATTTTACACTAGAGGTAGGGAACAAAAGGGCTCTGGATGCTTTTGAATTCCAAGTGTGATCATTCCAATGTGCGTAATCAGGATGGTAAGTATTGTCATCCAATACTATGTGGAGAATTATGTTTCCACATTCTTAGCTAAGATAATACATAATAGTGAGGTATATTCCCCACAATTCACTCAGAATCTATGGGAAGAAGTTGCATATAGGCAGCCAAATTGCGGACAGCTACTTACCAGGCAAATATCAGGCATACCAGAGGAGGATGGATATGTATTTATGCTATTCTGATACCCTGCCTTTCCTCCAGGAATTCAAGGTACAAGTACCTTGTGAGTTAAGTTAGGCTAAAAGGAAGTGACTGGCCTAAAGAGAACTTCCATGACCAAGGGTAATCCTGGCTCAGCATCTTAACCAATACACCACACAGCTCTTAGCCTGATGGACACAAAAGCATGCGTTTCCTTGGTCCATAATGGTTGTTGGAAACAAAGAGACTTTTTAAGAAAAGAAGATTCTCCCAAAGCAGCATATTAAGAGGCAAGTAACTGCTCTTCAAGATGAAGAGGCCGACATTTTTTAGGTTACTGAAAGGGAGGGGGGAGGAATTGCCAGACTACAGAAAAAAAATGTATAAGCTATAAAGGACTCAAGGAAAAAAAATAATATTCCACTTCCTTCAGCCTTCCCCAAGACGATGCTTGTAGTGAGTCGGACTAAAACCCCCAGGGATTCTGAGTCAGCCTGATCATTCCCAGAATGCTAGCTGGGAGTTCTAGGAATTGTAGTCTAATACAAATGGAAGGCACTGTCTTAGAGAAACCTACTTGAATCAGCGACACGTCTTCTAAAACGACTTTAGACTGCTGCTGCGGCTATAAAATGAATTAACAACTGGTCCACAAGAAAGCTTGTAAGTTGGATTTCTACATTGTGCTAAATCCTGCCTTATTGAATTATGGTCTGTGGGTTAGGCCATAACTGGCAAGCACACAGTAAGACATAAGATACAGTATGGTTTACTAAAAACAATGGCTAGATTTGCACAACATAGTAAATTTAATCTAAAGAAGCTACATCATGGTTCACACCATGGATGAGCCTACCTTGGAAGCAGCACGCTATGGGCAAAATTCAGCAGAAGACTCACTTGCCAAAAGCAGGATTGAAACGCGTGATGGAAGGTAATCCTGGCCTTGGAAATGGGAAAGGGATGAACTAACTATTAAGGGAAGACGAGGCTTAGGAAAGAGTACTCAGTCTTACAAAAGAAGAAAGCAGCTCAAAACAATCCCACCTCGATTTTGTTTGGTCTAAGATGGGATATTCTGTTGTTATACCCCTATAACAAAAAAGAGTGTTCCTGAAACTCCTGCTGCTCCAGCTTCCTGACCCTGGCTACCTCAAAAGGCTGTCAGAATAAGACATTTGCATCATTCTTGTCCATTGAATTTCCTTGCTGGATTGCAATCAGAATACATATTGACATGGTGACGATCAAATCCTACACTCATTCTAGCGTTGCCTCCTCCCAATTTCGCACGAGTTCTGAAGTTGCCTGAGACTTTGTCCCATTTGCCCTCATATGCTGAGATTTCAATAGAGGCTCTCTGTAGAGGAGGACCACCAGCTGTGGAAAGTCCTCCCCAAAGCAGGTTGCCTGGTGCATACCTTAATGTGTATTTACATTGTGTTTTAACAGGGATTAGTATGATTTTTTCAGAGTCTTGCTTTACTTGATACACATTAGGATTTTAGACTGTTTTTTTTAATGGATATTTTATTCAGTGTTCCTTTTGAACTTTGTTTAGGATTAATTTGGGGAAAATTATGCTTTTTAAAAAATATATATCATCCTGAAAACAGCATGTTGAACAGGATACCAATTGTTTAGGCTTCATATTCCATCTTTATTTATATTAATACAGTAGCTCTATTTTCAGAAGTGCTTCTGTTAAGAGGCAGGAGGCAAGCATGGTTTCACCTGGGGAATGAAGGTAATATACCATTACGAAGTTCCTTTCTTTTTGCCCTTTTCCTTTTCTTCTCACATTTAGATATATCATCCTGGAAGAAGAGTTTCAAAGAGTTTGCTTCATGGAGAAAATCTGGGCTTTTGGGCTCTGCCACTCAGCAAGACTTGAAAAAACAAAAACCTGAGCCTTTTTCCTTGCAAAAGTTGATTTCTCAAGATTAAAAGGTGAGTTATAAACCAGGTAGGCCTTTATTTCCTTCTGAGTTTTACATTAAAGAATTCAGGAATATAGTGAGTAGTCATGCACTCCTTTCATTCAAGGATGAAAGCCATGTTGCAGAAAGGACTGGTACTTCATATTTGCAGCATGAAAGCCACCACTGATTGCCATAAGAGTTTCTTCACTACCCTGGGGCTTTACTTGTGTTCTGATGTTAGAGTTACAAAATGATGCCCTGCTACTTACACTGGATTTGTGAAGATGATTTTAATACACAGTCCTTATATATTCATGCTTTAGTTAAATATATTGATCCATTGGGGAAGGAAGATATTACATACATTAACTCAACTTTGAGATTTAACATTTTTGGAAGTTTATATTCTTCAAAATTTATCTCTATCATGTGGGAATTGACATCTGGGCAAAAAAAAGTGGGTTCTCTGTACTTTTCTTCTAGCCAAAAGACTTACTGTTCAGCACTGGAAAGACAAACATACAGCTCTAACTATTCAGTGGTCTGTGGAATGGATTAATACAGATTAGCTATAGATGACTGTAACAAATCATGGCTTCCATTTATTAATGCATGTATATTTGTGAATGTATGCTGTGTATGTCTTTGTGGTTTTTTTAAGCTTCTTTTTCTTCTTTTATCGTTTTGTGTATTCTTGTTCTTTGTTTTTTTGTATTTAGTTAATAAAAACAAATTAAAAATATATAGTCATTATTTCCCTAGCACCAAAGAGCTTCTATAAATACAAGTTGGGGGGGGGGGTTGGT